TGTTCAATTTACTAAATGAAATCACTACTAAACTGAAGAGAATGTTATTATGTACACACTACGAAAAAGACATGTAAATTTCAGTGCCCTGAGACCGACACATGCAAGTGGCCCTTTTGACATAAGAATAAATTGAAAAGGACGAGAAAATCAATTCAATTAAACGCACTTTTCGTCGAGTTGCATGTGTTTCAGTTTCAGGACACTTAATTTTACATGCCATGTTTGTTTACGTTCCATGATTTACGTCAAAGCTGAATTACGTCTCGTGTAAAAATAATAATTTCTAAGTGTGTATACACCCAACCGGGGGATGTAAGATTCGCTTACAATTATGTGGGATTCATCATCAGAGGATTTTAGTGGCAGACCTATGCATTTTCGAAACAAAGAAAAGAAAATGAACTCTCCACAGAATCGCTTCATTTCGAGCAATATAATTTTCGTTATCGAGTCACGATGAACATTCCTCCTTTCAAACATGACTTGACTATCGCTTGTTTCGTTCGTCAAGTGCTTTAGTTCATATCATTTGAAGCAAAGACTTGTTTCAATTCACTACTTCCTTCATTTTTTTCCACTTTCACTTCAATTCGGGCTCATTCGACTTGTCACGCATCGCGTCTTCAAGCATCAAAATATAGTATCCGGACAATATCGGTTGCCGATAGGGATGGCATCCGGATTATATGTAGTAATAATATATTATTTTACGTTAAACGAAATTAAATTAACGAGACCATTCTGGAGTCCAAGATGGCGGTCATCGGGGTCAGGAAAAGTCTCAAATACTCTACAATATGGGTATTTTCGGAACGGGGACAACGCGTAGATGCCGAAAATCGGCATCAGATACCATTTTGGAATCCAATATGGTGGCCATCAGGATTCAGAAAGTGTCAATACCCTACAATATGTGTATTTTTGGAACGGGGACGACGCGTAGATGCCAAAAATCGATATTCGACACCATTTTGGAATGCAAGATGGTGGCCATCAAGTTTCATAAAACGTGTCAAATACCCTAAGGTATGGATATTTTCGGAACGGAGACAACGCGTGGATGCCGAAAATCGATATCCGACGCTATGTTGTACTCCAATTTTCGATTATTTCGATCCATAGATGTCATCACTGCCTTGATTTTAGCTTTTAGCGACTTAAGTGTGGTGTGAGGGGTTTTATTGGTATCCCGTTCGACGACGCCCTATACAAAATAATCCAACGGATTGATATCGGGACTGCTTGGGGGCCAAATTTCTTCCTCCCAAATTTACGAAATATTTTCCGTAAGCCATTTCTGTGCTTTATTAGCAGTATGAGCAGGTGCTTCGTCTTATCACTTTCCCAAGCCTTTTTTAATATTATACACTGTTCTTTCAGACACATTTACCGACCGAATTATTTCTTTCATGCATACTCCGGCGCGCAACAAAGCGACAACGGCTGACAGATTGCTCTCTTGTTTCGACATCTTTACGTTTACTCAACATTGTTTGTTTAAATCCTACACCTAACAGTATAAGCTATCCAGTGCTGCCAAATATATCTAAATCATGATGCACAAGCATGAGAAATTACTATTTGAAATTTACTGCAAAAATTCGCTGTACTCTTTAACTCCATTAATTACAGTTGAAATTTCGTAATTAAATTACATTACATTAATAACGGATGGATAATTTTAATAACCTTCAGTACTACTTCAAAACACATTAATTACTTTAAGTACTTTTGATTGAATTTTAATTTCAACGCACCGGTTCTTTGTATTGAGTGCCCCTCGCTTCACACAGCAAAAAAATAATTTTGATATCACATCAAAGTGGATGCACTACAATCATGTCGAAAATTTCATGTAATTTTTATGACCACATAAATAAACAAATGCAGTAAAAGCAACGTAATGTCAGTTCATGCATTGTATTAATGATAATTTTGTCCTTTTTAGCAAGTAATATTACACCATATTTTCGACATGATTGTAGTGCATCCACTTTGACGTGATATCAAAATAATTTTTTTGCTGTGCATACTTATTACAAAAATATCAATATTGAAGTGTATTTGACTGTATTGCCACATTTTCTTAAGTCAGAAGCCGCCATCTTTGATTTCGAAATGGCGCCGGATATCGATTTTCATCCTCTAGACATCATCTCGATTCCAAAAATACCTTTATTGATAGGTATTTGATAGTATTTCCCACTTTTTATTTAACTGGAAGCCGCCATCTTGGATTTCGAAATGGCGTCGCATATCAATTTTCGATCTCTAGACGTCACCCCTATTAAAAAAAATACCCATATTGATGGGTAAACAAACCACCCGACAATGATAAATTTGACATCCACATGCACAGATCTATGCGCATTAGACTGATGCAAAATTTGAAATTTTCGCTCCACAGTGCTCAAACGGTTTAAAATCAGGTCCTGATTAGCCTCCCAAAATTTAAACTCATTTGGTAAGAAACTGACTTGGCACAAACTATTCGAAGTTTATATAGAAATTACTATGGGAAAACAAAACTTTTTGTGCATTGTCTTCTATCCATTTTCATTATAGCTTTTTCGAAAATTTCTACAACTATTCCTACGGGAAATTTTCTAAGCTACAACTTTGTGTAACACCGTTTTTTAGCCAAATGTCAAATTAAAATGATATTAATTGTTTAAGAGCTTTATAATTTTATGGCATGATCAAGCAGCTGTTCTGTGAGCAACACTGCATTTTGCAGTGTGACATAGTAGCCATGATATTTGTGCTCTATTCTTCGCATCAGAAACACCAATGTTGCCTGCTGAACAGTTGAATGAGCATAATCATAAGACATCAGTGACTTGAATCAATAATAACTTTTGTTCCTTATATTTGATTGAAAAGTGGTTTACAACAAAGTTGTAGCTGATAAAATTTGCTACAACCACTGGTATCATTTTCAAAAGCATAGTGGTGTGGTGAATTGTTAGATAGATATAAACAAAAACATAAGTTTTCCCATAGAAATTCCCATATAAACTTGAAATGGTTTGTGCCAAGTCAGTTTCTAACTAAAGTAGTTCAAATTTTGGGAGGCTAAGCAGGACCCAATTTGGAACCGTTTAAGCACTGTGGAGCGGAAATTTCAATTTTGCATCAGTCTAATGCGCATACGCTTAAATAAACCGAGTGAACAATCAACAAAAGTCATAAAAACTGCGCGAATTTGGATCGAACAGCTTCGCTTCAATGCAAAAGCAAGTTCTTTTGACAATGAAAGAAGAAATGAACACGAGTCAAGCCAAAACAAACAGCATGAAAACTGATCGAAAGTGGTTCTGATGATATTGACGGGGATCTGGTCGAAGAGAGGACAGAATGGCTTTCAATTGAAAGTGATGGTTTACAGCTTCATTGCCACTTGATGATTTTCGATTGAAAGTGACTTTGTAGGGCCCTGGTTAGTGGTGACCGCATGAACCACGGATGCGATATACCGAGCTGCGGTCCAATACAAGAAAATTGGAGACCGAAAAATGTGGAGTGTATTAGTTATTGAAATTAATCATGTCGAAAAAAAACGTGTCGAATGGGGGACTCAAACCACGAACGTTGTGATTATCAGATCTGTGCTTTCTCCACTGCTCTATCCATGCTTCGAGATATGGATAGGCTAAAAGCAAGCAAGAAGCGCCTCCCGGAAAAAAATAACCATACAATTACCATAAAATAATATAAAATCACAACAAAATCTATTGCCAACAATCATACATACCATGCAAGTAAAATAAAAATATTGTTATTACAATAGATCTACAATACGTCCCATATTGTATGAATGTTCAACAATAGAAAAACAATAAAATGAATGATAAATGGCTCAAGTTTGTTCAGAAAAAGTAATTTTTTGTATGGTTAAGATACATAACAACCCCCTTGTTCTATTGTCGATTTCCCCGTTTACCATATGATTCTATTGTGGAAACAATAAATTCTATTATTATTTTATCGTTGTGGACAGTACAATAAATTCTATTGTATGGTTACAATACATTGCATTGTACCTCTATCGTTCTTTTTTTACGGGTTTCCTCACATACTCGACTTCGCTTGCTTTTTCTGCTGGAGAGAATCGAGGCAAGTGTGTGCGTCGTTCAACCATGTTATATATAACAATCAAGGCAAATGCTTGCTTGTGTAGGTGAAAGCATGTACAGAACATGGAATAAAAAAAAGATTTAAAATCATTGCATCGTCAACTTCTAATATTCACTGCGATGTTCATGAACAGAGGATGATAGGAAATGGAACTAACATTCATTGTAATAAATGTGTGGTTTTCGTGTAGTCTAAGATTTTGAAAATATCTCTTGTGTCTTTTATCACACCGGAGCTTTTGTAGCGTAATTATGTAAAAAATTACTTCGCTAATCACCCATTTTCACCATATCAGGCAGATTGTTATCTATATCTATATGTATGTGTATATGAGTCTGGGACGAAATAAAGTAAGATGTGTTTCTTAGCAACTCGGTTGTATATTTTTGGAATCGATCTACTGGATCCGGAGAATGACCGGAACATGTTCCGATGAATATGGATCTTGAGACTAGTAGCGCTCTGTAACGGGCCAAATCCATCATGCGACCCCTCAAATCACATGATAGTTCGAAACAAAATCAGTCTTTAGTGTCTAGTCATAGTCTATGACTAGACACTGAAGAAGTTTGCACGTAGTAAATGAAATACGTGTCTGTTATAGTTTTTTTTTTAAGATTGTGAAAGTGATACAATAATAGTAGAATTGAAAATAAAAGCAACGTCATAAGCTGTCCAATTATTCTACTAAAACGCTCATCAATAAATGTATATTGTATAATATATCCAAATTATATTAAGCACAACATTGCATGAACCAAACCACGTGATCCCTTTATGACATAAAAAGGCTCTAACCCTATATTTACTAAAGTAAAAGTTGAATTATTGATCTCATTCAACGTTCTACCCCCTTTCAGGACCTACACGTACAACAACCGACGATACGGGTACTATCAACCGAATGGATATGGTCAGCAGTATCCAGGTCAAAATCTGCCGGGCCAGTACCCTCAAAATACCGGCCTTGGGGACGACCGATTCAAGTATGACCCGGTAAGTATGCCTTAAAAAAAATAAACTTTACATAGAATTTCTCACTGACCCAATTACCCCCTAAAGCACGTTTAGAACAAACGCATTCTTGTAAAATTGAGATTAAATGCTTACTATAAGCGCCGCAACTGCAACGTGCTATGCATAATTAGCAATCTGTGCAAACGATTCACTTTTCACATTCATCTTCCACCATAATGAGCACGTTGTAAGAGTCTCTGATTAAACGGTCCGTTTTAACGTATAGAATGATGTATTCATCTTTCGTAAGTGCAAAGCGCAGGCGGTATCGTTTTTCGTTACCTTCGTCGGAACAATCTGTTTACGGTGCATACATGTTTTACATATACGCATACCTACTTTCCATCTCGATCTTCATCGAAAGTAAAAACTAGCAATCTACACGATAACAATGCTCTTCTTTCTTATCGCACCGCGTCACGAGTTCAGACCCGCTTATTTTTCCCACAACGGTATCCATTCCACGTCTTTTTTGCGTTTATTTCATACGAGCCAGTGCACCACCATAATCATCGCAACCGTTGTTTACATTCTGATTAATTCCACATGTGCAACTCCACGGTCGGCGCGCGGTGCGGCAATAATGTTTTGTCGAGCGCTTACATTAATGGCACATAAATATTCCTTCATACCAGGCCAATCCAAACAACGTCCAGACACCGTTCCCGGGTGTGCTCGGCGGCTGGCGAGAAGATCTACAGGGCAAGCTACGACGTGACTCAATTCAGCTGGATCGAGACGTATTCGTAACCACCAACTATGGACAGGTGCAGGGCTTCAAGGTCTACCTGTACGACAACCCAGATCCGAAATCGTTCTACCGCCCATGGCACAGTCCGGTTGACCGCATTATGGGAACTTGTTCAACGTTCCTGGGAATCCCTTACGCTCTACCTCCGACCTTTGAGGGAAGATTCAAACCTCCGCGGCAACACCGAGGCTGGCAACTGCTACAGGCGGTGGACTATGGACCTGCCTGTCCACAGCCAGTTCAGTATACCGGAGCAACCAAAGGAATTCGCGACATGGATGAAGACTGCCTGTACCTAAATGTGTTCTCGCCGAATGTGAGTATTAATATAATTTTTATCAATACACTGAAACAAAGACCATAGTTAGGAATACTATTTTGCAGAAAACACTTATTTTCAGTATAACTGTGCTTAATGCCGTTAAATCTACCATGATATCAGTATAGCTGACTATAAATATAAACAAATTTAATACCACTCTGTCAAAACTACTATGCTTACTCAAACGGCATAGTAGCTTTGATAGAAAAATAAGTAAAATTAAATGAATTTCGTTTCTGCACAAATCTATTGGTGCGAGTATTTAATTTAAACCATCAATATAGTAATTTTGCCAATGGATTTTGTTTCTGTGTAGCTCCAGATGATTCTACCCCGTTTGGCATAATGTCATGTGGAATAACTGACGTTTGGCATAATATTCGTATGGTATAAAGGCTATTTGGCATAACTGTAGAAAACCGCTGCTTGTACCGATCAATAGTTATAGTGCCTCTTGGTTATACTTTAACAGAATATAAAAGAGCAGCTTATGATAAAAATAAGGGAAAACAATCATGTGTTTATGCCAAATGGCCATTATGTCAAATGGCATTATGCCAAACGAGCTACAAGGGCTCTCACATCTACGATAATCTTTTATCATTGCCACACAACATGCAAAGCTAGGCAATGATAAGATTTAAAAGCTTTGGATTATTAATTTAAGAGAGACAAAATAGGTCTAAATGACCGTAGTCACTACTATAGATGTATCACCTCAATTGGAACCTAGAGCTACTGATAAGCTACCGATGTTCAATTTAAAACTAATAATTTACCTCATCTACCTTCAGACCCAATCCGGCGTTGCTCAACGATATCCTGTGATGGTTTACATCCATGGTGGCGAATTCGTCCGGGGTGCATCGAATGTATTCCCGGGCCAAATGTTAGCCGCGTTCTATGAAGTAGTAGTCGTAACCTTCAACTACCGGCTGGGTGCGCTCGGTTTCCTTTCCACAGGAGACGAAAACTCGCCCGGAAACTACGGTATCTTGGACCAGATCATGGCCGTTCGTTGGGTGAACGACAATATCGAAGCATTCAATGGAGATCGTAACTCTATAACACTGTTCGGGCCCGGAGCGGGAGCAGCTTCGGCAGGTTTGTTGATGGTTGCACCCCAAACCAAGGACATCATCCGGCGGGTCATTGCGCAATCCGGAGCGGCTTTTGCAGATTGGGCACTGATTGTGGATAAATACAGGGCGCAGAATACCAGCCGAGTGTTCGGACAGATGGTTGGATGTCCCATAGAGACATCATGGAAATTGGTGAACTGCATGCGGCAAGGTAGGAGTTTCTTTGAACTTGGAAACGCAGAATTCTCTCCGGACGTTGGACTATTCCCTTGGGGACCCGTGCTGGATACAAACTTCACATTTCCCGGTGACGAATGGTACGAAGGATGGAGGGAGCGAGACTGGCACTTCCTGGCTGAAACTCCGGAGGAGCTCATCAGGAAAGGACATTACAATCGTGGTATACACTACATGAGTGGAGTAACGTTGCAGGAAGCAGCTTTCGTAATATCGCAAAACGAGTCGCTGGCTCCGTACTTCGAAGTAGACCAGAAATTCTTCGAACAAAAAGTTTGGGAACTGGTCTATCGATATAACTATACACTCAACTTAAATGGCACGTACGAAGCCATAAGGTACATGTATACCCATTGGCCAGATCCTAAGAATACAACGTTTATCAGAGAGCAGTACATCAATGTAAGTTCCATGATTATAAAGCAAGGGTGAGTGTTTTAACCATTTTGTTTTTTCTAGCTTCTCTCGGATTTTCTCTACCGTGCTCCCGCAGATAAGATGACTAAACTTCTGGTGGAACGTCGTGTTCCGGTGTACAGTTACGTAATGAACACCACCATCGAAGGACTGAAACTTCCTGAATGGAGAAAAGTACCCCATGACATCGAACATTTCCTGTTGACGGGAGCGCCCTTTATGGACGTAGAGTTCTTTCCTCGAAAAGCCCGTCTGGACCGATTGATGTGGACCGACAATGATCGCAACATGAGCCACTTCTTCATGAAAACATTCTCCGACTTTGCCCGTTACGGTAACCCAACGCCCCAGCAAGTGCTTGGGCTGTTCTTTGAGCCTGCCCGAAATGGTGAGCTGAAGTACCTGAATCTGAACACCACGTACAACTCTACCATCCTGATGAACTTCCGGCAAACCGAAAGTGCCTTTTGGACTCAGGTAAGCTGGCGAAGCTGGTGGTAATTATAAATGATTTCAACCGTGTTTGTCCCATTACAGTACCTCCCAACAGTCGTTGGAGTGTTGGTGCCAACGTATCCGCCAACTACGGAATTCTGGTGGGAACCGAAGGAACCGCTGCAGATCGCCTTCTGGAGCATGTCCGCTGCGTGTCTGCTTCTGATCGTTCTGGTAGTAATATGCTGTATATTGTGGCGAAACGCTAAGAGGTACGGATAGGTAGGAGATCTTAAAGTTCTATTAGCCTTGCACCCAGCAGTTGAACGGTAATGATCGCACCTCACAGCTTGCAAGTATGGGTTCCGTAGGTTGGCAAACTAATTGCTTTGCTGTTGTTTTTTAGTAGACTTCCTTAGATTAGATACAAGCTTCGTAGATTGGAAAAGTGCATGACTTGATCGGCGTTGTATTGAATACCTATTCAATGTATCCTTATCGTGTAATCCACAGGCAATCAGACCGTTTCTACGACGATGGTGTCTTCGTAGTGGACAATCCAGAATCTGAACGAGACGTAGGTATCGACAATAATGTAGTGCAAGCTCAACCACTCCGCACAAGAGACAACATCTACGAGTACCGAGATTCTCCGATAAAATACGGAAAATCAGTACCAACCGATGCAACCTCGATTCGGTCTCCCAGTTCACTGGGGATGACTCAAACCACCGCCAAGTCCTTCTCCGGTAGCCAAAGCTCGCTGCGCAGTGCCATCTCGATGAAGGAATCGGCCAACATAAGCCCCATTCCTAGGTCGGAGTCCAACTTTGACCGGAACATCAAGTACGCGGAACGTGGAGTGGACACCGAAGTCAACAAAAACGGAAAATACCCGCGGACGGATTCGAGGAGTGCTCTCAGCGATACCAAATCCCGGGAATTTTCCACCAGTTCACCTATCGAACCCGTTCAAAGATCTCAACAACCTACACCGCAACCCGCTAGCCGGGGAGCCAGCCGAGCCGGTTACGATCGGAGCAACAATGCAAGTCGAACGAATTTAATCGAAGGAATTCCGCAGACCGAGGTTTAGATTTAGATCGAAATAATTAGCGTTTAGTTTAGGTTCAGGGTTGCGGTCATTCGTTTTTTTTCGGAATTATGGAATCATGAGATGTTATGATGATATTTTGCACTTGCAAGTTACAGTTAGAGATTGTAAAGTATGTGTTTGACGCATGAAATCTATCAATTTCGCTTTCAAAGAGTGTCTAAATTTTATGATTAATTAATATTCACGCTTCATGAAGAGTGAATGTTTACCGATAATAAAATTTATGATTGTAACTCTCTGAATCCAAAATTTACAGGTTGTATGTGCCAAACACATAAGTTAGAACCTTTTCTTGTAACTTACAAGTTCAAAACATTACCAAACATGATTTTATATTTCTGAAAAACATGTTTTTTATAGCCGCGAATGGCCGCAGCCCTGGTTAGTTTAGTCCAATTGTAACAGTTAACACATTACAACATGCCACGCGTCCCCATCACAAAACAAATCGACCTTGATAATCGCAACATATCAGGTTAGATTATAGGGAGTAGAAAAAAATAACGTTTTTAACATTAAGACAATCGAAGCCGTACTATAAGTTTACGAGAAATCTACAATAGATTGACGGTACTTTATTAGAAAAACGAAAGCACCAAGTGCCTTACATTTAACTTTTAGGTAGTTTTAGATTAAACACTGTAGCAATTCACGCTGAAACTGGGTCACTGAAAAATGGCAGAGCGAGTTTAAAAAAAACAATAGGCAGGTCGAATTAGAAATGGGTCATTTGGGTCAATTGTCAACTGGATAATTGTTTAAATGGGAATCTTACTAATGACTATAAAGTATGCATTTTTGAAGGAAAATGGGACTACCCATTAATTGAGTAATGTTTCACTCATAAAATAATATTTGTTACTTCATTTCTCATTTAATGGGTAGTCCCATTTTCCCTCAAAAATGCATGCTTTATAGTCATCAAATATTGGATGTCATTAGTGAGTATTTTTCGGTTACCGTGTGGCTAGTCTTAATTGACCAAAAATGCATTTGATAAAATTTGCAATTGACAAAATGGGCAACTGATAAAATTGGCAATTGACGTATAATAAATTGACCAAATATAAAATGTGAACAAAACGGACATTTATGAAATATACTATTGAACAAATGGACAATTGACAAAATGGACAATTTACCATTCAAACAATTGATCAATTGGCATTTAACAAATAATTTTTAAGCATGTATGTAAAAAAAAGTTTCCCTACATGATGGAGTTGTAAATTTGTTTGGTCATGAAGTCAACGTTTTCAAAAGCAGTAATGTACACCATGGACCCCCGGTAATCGGACCGTATTTAATCTGAGCGCTTTAATTTGAACCCCGCTAATGTGCACGCCGTGCAAACTAAAAATTCCTCAAACGTCATTCAGCATAATGAATGGAGGAAAGCAAAATGGAACATTGCGAAACGAAACGCAAAATCGAAACAAAACAGCAAATAAGGCTACCAGAAACTTAAATTTCTGACGCTGTTAGGGTTACTAGAAATGCAAATTAAAAATGAACCCCGTTAATATGCATGAAATTTCGTTCAGATTAGCGGGGGTCTACGGTATTCCCTTATTCTTTATCTCGTTTTTATTAGTGTTGATACTTTACCGTGTATTATATTCTTGTTTTGGCAAAACCGGACCCTTAAAGGCCACCCACATTAGATCCGTTTGCGTTGCGTTGACGTAAATTTGACAGTTAGACAATAGATTTAGCTGTCACTTTGCCGCAACGCGTACGATCCGGATATAATGTGCGCGAGACTTTAATGTACAAGATAAATTTAAATTATTTCCCGCAGAATATTATTTAAATTATAAAAATTTTAATGTGGAACTGCTTTTCAAAATTACCAGTTCCAGTTCCAGTTCCCAAAAAGATTTTTTTTTTCTACAACATTGTCTCAGACGTCATTTCGATCAGAAGTGACATTTTCGTACGAAAATTTATTGAAAAATTACAAAGACGCCATTGTAATTCAAAACATCCAACATGGTCGATTTTTTTTGTAAAAATGCGAATGATTGCCCATAACACACAATTATGCAAAGTTATATGTAAATCGGAAAAGGTCGAGTATTTCCGATTCGTCATTTGGCGTGGAACTGCTCAAATACCAATTTATCCATGAGAAGTACCTATCAACATTCGATGAAGCAACAATCCCGTTCGAAAGCATTTCTTCAACTTTGGTAACCACATCCAACATCAAGCCATTGACATTGACCCATTTTCAGCGAGTATATTTCTAGATGAACATTTTAAAAGTTCCTATCTGCATTAATCGATTCTCTTCACCGACTTTCGCTCTCGATCACCACGGTCGATCTGTGTGCATAGATTTTGCACTATTTTTGCAACATAGTTTGATAAAATAGGTTCTTGTCTAGCGTCCAAAACCTCACACTCAATAGGGAATGTTTTTGCAGCTTAGATATTAACGAAAGAGAAAGTCGACGAATATAATCGATCAAACCAGATAGGACCTTTTGAAGTGTGCGTCTAGAGTTGCTCACCTAATACAGTTTAAGCAAATCGTTACAGAAAAGACTCGCAAACACCAGCAGCCAGCAGCCACGATGGTTTGGAGTCGAATACGTACTGATTGTTATAGAGTTAGCCAATTTTAATCGTAGCCCTAATATGTGTTATCGGTGTACATAAATGTGCTGTGCATGTCCGTATGTTTCAGTGTATCCGTCCAATTTTTGTTTTAAGTGTACCGGTGTCAACGTGTTTTCCTGTTGTCCGTGTTCTTAGTTTTAACTTGTCTCAATATTTATGTAATCTGTTTTATTGTCTTACTTTTAGCTCCTAGGTACTTATTTCACTCTTATGTTCTATCGCTTTCGCGTGAATCAAAGCAGAACAAATTTAGGCCAAACCGTGCAAATATATTTTTAAACTATGAGATCCTTACAGTCCGTTAGGATTTCTTTTATGTACATACTACTTTTATCGTCTTCCATTCCATACATTCCTGACATTTTCAGCTTGCTTTTACTTATTTCAAAGCTGTCCATTTGATTCATTAGATTAATTTACGATGATATCCTAGGTTTACAATGACAAGCATTTAAACAATCTGTACATATAGTGATGATCATTTTTGGTTGATTACCATTTAAGTATTAACGAGCGTAGGTTTTGCTGCACAGGTATTGTGAAGCATTCATTAGAGTAAATATTTTGATAAGATTTTTAGTCATAAATAAAATAAATAAGAGCTTTTATTTCATATTCTGTTAATGTTTTCATCGAAATCCTTAAAATGACTATTTCGAATTGTCAGACTTTTCTAAGTAAATCTTTTTTGTCCGGTCCATGCTGTTTTGCATTGTCTTCCCACATGCCCGTAACTCTTTTTCTTTTTCTAGAAGACTGCCGTTTGACCTCCTCTTCATATTTTTCTTGCAATATTGTTGTATTGGTATTACAGTTGCGGTACCGACTGTTTAATGTCACGCCGCCTCCTTTTCAAAGGCCACACCTTACAATACTAAACATTGCACTTGAAAGATGATAGCAGAAATTTTACCTGGCCAAAAGCGCTCTACACTCAAAAAAATTCACATGTTCCATTCATGTGTTTTCAAATATGAATTTTGATAATTGCCAGTCACCATGATATCATGTGAATTTCATTCGCATTTCATAGGATCAATGTTCAAAAATCACATGTCCCACCTGTCGGTGAAATTAAAACAAATCACACCATAATTTCGTGTGTTTATTTATTGAAATTCATGGGATCTTAGTAAGGATCTGCGCTACTGTTTTCTACTATCGCATTTAACGTTATGGCACATGGATCTCATCAGTAGCAGGACGAGTGTCAAAAGAGTATGTTGCTGCTACAGTTATGACCATTACGAGAGTTTACAGGTACCCCACAATATTAATTTCCGCTTTAATTTACTGACAATAATTACTTTTACCAGTAGCGGTCAATTTGTCAGCCGGTGTGAAGAAGTTGGTCAGTTCTATCTGAAATAAAACTTTATTTTTGGCTTCATTAGATAGATTTTCAGCCCTTTGGCTGGATCATCTTTAAAACAGAAAACTGATCAGGAATGGTAAGTAAATCCTATTTAATAACTGAGAATAACATCAAAAGCTGAAAAACTTTATATCTCCATAACTGTCTTTTACAGTATTCTTGGGTTCCTACACGGTAAGAAAAAAGTACCCAACATCCAGTTCACTTTTTCCTACTTTTGACTAGTTTGTCTCCTTTTCTCCTTTTAATGTTGTCAAAAACGGAGGAGCAAAACCACCCAACAGGGGTAGTAAAGTGTGGGAACCCAACGTTGAGTATAATCATATTTACCTACTGTTGGGTACAACTAACTTACTTTTGGTTAAAAAGCCAGTGGAAAATTCCATACGAACTGCACACAAGTAAATGAAAATTACTTTGACCCGCTTTACCAACTTTTGGGTTCCTGCACTATCCAGTTTTCCATGCTCGGTAATGGCGGCCTGTTTGTATGAATAAATGTATCCTTCACTGTGCTTTTTGACACAATCTGGATGTTCGGATTTTGATCCCTCCCTTTCCCTCTGCCAGGAACAGAAGAAAATGGAACAACATACGCCCTCCAGTTAGTGTCAAAAAGTACAGTGAAGGATACATTTATTCATACAAACAGGCCGCCATTACCGAGCATGGAAAGCTGGATAGTGCCGAGGTGAGTGAAAAGAACTTAATTTTGGGTACTTTTTTTCTAACCGTGTAGGTCCTGGTGTAGTGACGTGATTGGAGAGAGCTGCAGTGTTTTTTCTTCTTCTTCTTATCTTTTATGAATTAATAATGAAAAAATAATCATTAAATGAAATGCAATATTGTTTTGATCGATTATCAAAAATAAGATACACGAGCCACAAATGTTCGAGAATATGCTTTTGGATGAATGAAATTTGATGATTAAGTGTCAGACTGTCGATAACAAAATGTGAGACACTTGAAATCCAATTGTATCACAATTGAACTTATAGTGTTCGGGAATAATTTATATTATAAGATTCACACATGAAATGGATGTGTTTAGCAATTTGCGCAAATCGAAGTGTGGAACGAGGTGTGGAACACATAAGGGTAACGTGTGAATTTTTTTAAGTGTAGATTTTGGTTAAAGTACAGACAAACAGACGTAACTCGTCATTCTGCGATTGATTTAAATATTATCAACTCCGCAAACTGCTCACACACGCAGTGCTGGCATCGGATCAACATTTCTATATATTCTGTTTACCTTGCATGCAACATTGTTTGCGAGCCAGCTTGTTTTCTGCGATAAGCTCGAGAGATGTCGTTACCGAGGTCCTATTTTCTTAGGTACAATGTTTTCAAGCAAAACTTATGCAAAGAGTTACGTCTGTTTGTCTGTGTACCGCAACTATTGGTACACCTACCACAATTATTATATATTAGCGTTCACTGTCTACAGAAGCAGGCCACTCTCGATATTTGTCACGCAATCGTCTGTTTACTCGGCAGCAACCATTGCACAATGGTCCCAAAGCCATATTTAGGAAGACAAAAATATTTGCACTAAAACCGTTGGTTTTAGGCATATGGTATCTTGGAGAAAGTTTATTCATATTTTTTGGCCGATCTTTTCATGTTAATGAAATTAGGGTGGTCCATAAAATTGGTGAATTGAAAATGCAAACTTTGTTATTGTTTAAGATACACCAATGCAGTGTTCTAGAAAGTTGCAGAACAATTAATTTGCAGCAACTTTGCTGCAGACACCACATTTTCATCTCTTATGGTTCATGAGTTAT